GTTATACAATCCATTATGTTAATTTAGGATCTCATGTCGATAGAATCATAATTAATAAAAATGTTATAGAATTAAAATAATAAACAACCGCTTCATGTCGATTATTGGGATCTCAAACAAAACATTCTGCGAACTCTAATCGCATAAACCCAGAAGATTTAAACACAAAAGCGAGAGAGATTTTTAATATATATCAACCGATTCCATAACTTGAGATTTTTGAGACAAACCTTTCTTATTTCAAGACATTGTTAATTTAGGAGCTCCAAACCCAAATCTTCAATCACATCTGAAATCTCATCTCTACCGATTGAACTCTTGATGCATATCAACTAATTCTGATTGTATCTCCCAATCGATTTGCTCTGTCAAATCTTCCCAGAAGAAATATTTTTTTTTAGACAAAAGAGGAGACGGCAAAGACATTTGGCTGCTTTATTTTCTACAGAGATAAATTATAATAATAAAAAATAGTAAACCCGATATAACCGACCCGGTCAAGAACCAACAAAGAAATTGTTGTAGCCCATTTATACATTTATTGGCCCGTTTAATTTGAACCTTTAAATTCACTAACAGGCCCACCAAAAAAACAACAAACTAATTGAATCATGTTTTGTCTGTGTAGTCAAATTCACTGAATTCGGAAACAATAAAAGAGTAGTCAAATCCCCTTGCAAGTACTATTATTTAATTTTCTTAGATGTTATAATTTGATTGGTTTAAAATGATGATATGTCTTTGAAAATTATTTATTCATGATGATTATATATCAGATTGCAGTTAAAGAATACATCATTTGTAAAACTGTAAATATCATCAAATTAACCAGGTCTTCGATTTCTTTTAAGTTAATCTTGCAACGTTTGTATAGGTTGAACTTTGATTACAAAGAATGCCTAGGAATATCGTTTGCGTTATATTCAATACTAATTGTTTATTTGTATGTTTCAGTTGCTGATATAACTTTGCCAACAAGATCATTCAAATCAAGGATTTATATGTAGGTAAAAAATTTTGTATCTTTGGTATATATGTTTTTCGAAAGTTTGCTAATTGTTATCTTTTTTTGTTTGAAATGGTATATGATGTCTCAATGATAAGTCAATATGTACAAATTATAAAAAAGGTTAACTTCTAATATTTTGCTCACAAANCCC